GTTGTCATGCGAGCTGCTTTAAAAACTGTTAAATTTCAGCATGTTCTTCTCCTGGTCATTAACAAAAGTCAGTAGTTAACACATGGACAAGGTAAGAAAAATGATTTGTGAGAATTGGTGTAAAAGCCAGCACCAGGCACTGACTTGTGCATGAAGAGCTTTGCTGAGGAGGGCTCTGACACTGCAGCACCCAAATTCTGGGTGTCTGGGCCTCAACCTGGAGCTCAAACTCGTCCAGATCAGATTGATGTGTGCCACATGGAGCCCTGCATCCCAGTGGTTATAGGTCTGGCCAAGGAGGGGACAACAGGGCCTCGGAAGCTCCGAGCACAGGGTTCAGAAGACCATGAACAAAGAGCAAAGCCTGGGAGGAGCAGAGATGGATGAGGCCATCTCCCAGAATGGGAGAGCTGTGGGTTCCTCCCCGCAGGTAGAGGAGGGAGCTTCAGTCTCCCACTTCCTGGGAAGCTGCAGCATCTGCATTGTCCAGGCAGCATCCCTTGGCAGCTGAGATGAAGCACTAAGTAGCTGCAGCTGCTTTCCTGTGGGGCCCTGCCCTCAGCAGCTGAGCGTCCTAGACTAGATGCCTGACTTTGGGAACTGAAAGTCTTGAATTTCCAGTTGCCAGTGACAAAGCCAGTCTTCTCAGTAGAGCTCTTCTTATTCGCTCTTTTTTTTTTCCTGTTGAATTTCCTAAGCAGTGGACCCAGCTGTATAATAGGCAGGAGAGAAGCTCATCACCAGGCAGCTCAAGACATGCAGTCAGCCAAAGCCAGGCCTAGCATGAAAATGAAGTGGTTAGCAAATGTATGTCTCTTCAGTATTGGCAATCACCCAGCAGTGCTTAGGGGATTGAGCATTGCGTCCCTAGGTCCCTATAAGCCAGTTTTAGAAACCTAAAGCCTTTTCAGAGAGGTCTAAATCTCAGAAAAATGTTGTGACAAGGGCAAGGAAATGAAGGAGAGGTTAGATGGCTGTTAAACATCCACAACAACGGGGATTTCTCTCTGGGAAACCTGTTCCATTGCTGATTCAGCCTCAGAGTCAAAAAGTTTTTCCTGAAGTTCAGATGCAGCCTCCCACATTTTCTGTGTGCCCATTTCCTCTGTCTCAGCTGATCTTTTCTGAATCTTTTCATCTCCAGGATGAACAGGCTAATGCTCTCAGCCTTTCCTCATATCAGAGATGCTCTAGTCCTTTAATCATCTTCGAGACACTTTGTTGGAAACCAAATACATCAGTGTAATCTCTTGTAGTGGAGAGCCCAGAAATGGATGCAGTATTCCAGATGTGGCCCGAAAAGTGCTGAGCAGAGGGGAAGGATTACCTCCCCTGACCTGCTATGACACATCTTTTAATAGAGACCAAGTTATCATTCACTTTCTTTATAGAAAGAATGTTAATGGTAATGGTGTTCATATTCAACCTAGTGTCCACCAGGAACCTCTGGTCCTTTATTTAAAGGTGCTTTCAATTTTCTGGTTGGTTGGCCTCCAACATCTTTTGGTTCCTGGGTAGTTGTTCCTCCCCAGCTGGGGGACTTTTCCCTTCCTCAGCACTATTGGACCCAGTCTTCAGTCCCAGATTTTGATGAAGTAGTACTCATTGGTGCACATACAGACACAGCATAGAAAATTCTATGTGTTAAGTGGGTCTTAGTAACTGCAGAATTGGGAAGACTTCAGGACTCCTCTGAGACTCCGAGGTAGAACTGAATGTGAAGAGGGAAATGAACATTCCTGTAGACATCCATTCTCAAAGACAATGAGACTCATATTTGAACGACTTGTCTGTTTGCACGTTTATACTAAAATATTTTCAAGCAGTATCTCCTCATTGAATTTTTATTCATGTAAATATGGGTCTTCTAAGGAAGCCACTACAGTTTTACCTCACACAAAAGGATGTAGTCACATCTTCTCTGATCTGAAGATAACAGGAATGAGGTTGCTCTTTGGTGAAGGTAATATCGCAGTTTGCATTCTGTCTGATTACTACAGGTGAGATAACAAAGATGGACTCCCTATAACTCTTCAGCTTTACTGCCAGCTTGTTGATCTTTATGTGAAATTTGCTGCAGCTTTCAGTATTTTACTATTTCTTAGAGAGTCATAATCATCTGCAGGACTTGGTTCTGTGCAAATGGAATGACAGGATTATTTTAACATTCTCTTAGTTAAGGGAGAACACAGCCAATGAAAAGAAGAGCTTGATTTATTGAGAGAAGCCAAGTCGAACACTTTCCCTTGTCAAAGAGAAAACATCCAGGAGGGAATGAGTGAAGTACAGATTTAATCACTTCATTGGTGTGAGGAGGAAATGTTAAGTAGGAAAACAATTATCCTGCATTACTGGTTCTTCTGAGTCCTTGGCAAGTCCTGCTCACAATGTAATTGTGGCACAGGACAGAGTCTCTAATCTCTCTCTCACACATGAATCAATATTGCTAATTGAGTTAACCAGGTCATGTGTGGACTTTCAGGTATATCTAAAGGCCTCCTCTGATGTTAAAACAAAACAATCAAAGTCCTCAGGCGCCTTGATATTCCCCTAATAAACAGGCCCTATATAGAAACAGCATGAGATTTCTGTAGAGTCAATACAATGGCCAAGGAGGCAAGAATACTGAGGTTGGTATCGAGACCAAACTGTCTGCCATCTCCTTCAGGAATTCAACCTTTATCATCTCAAATACTGCTCTGTGCAGTTCATTGGAGCTAGTCTCTGATTGATCCTTGGAGGAGAGGCCAGACAGTAGACTACCAGCCAGTATTATCTCATTTAAATAGTGGTTCTAGCTCACTAGGACTGAAACTGTTCTGCACATAGGGCCATAACAGCCATGCGGAAATATGCAACCTAAAGGGTAGGAGCTCATGACCCCATTCAGAAGAGGGACTAGTAAGACCTCTAACATCATTATTATTAACTCAAAATTAGAAATCTGGCAGCTTTCCTATCACTGGGAAGAATCACCATGTTTCTTGACACGCTCAAATAAAATGGTAGCTGTAGAACTATTCAGCTGAAATGTGAAGAAGCAGCTTCCCTCTACCCAGAGTCAGCAAGTAAAAGGCTTTCTACCAATCTATTCTGATTGCTCCAAGACTGCAGACCATGGGTTGTGCCATACGAGGCATGTAGTGTCTGGTCATCTCTTTAGGAGAGAAAGAAACCTGACATGCTGAGGATTTATAGAGGATTAACCTAGGAGCTTGAAAGGTTTGGGTGGTCCCACCCACAGTAAATTGACACAGGGGGGCAGCCCTTCATGAAGAGATCTGAAAACTTCTAATCTTCATGGGGTAAATGACTCCATCCCTGGTTGAGAGGAATGGAAATCTGCCTCAGGAATCCAGAGCCCAATCGACCATAAGCACACATCAAGAGAAGGAGCTGAATGTCATGCACATATAGAATAAACATAGTTATTGGAGCTTACCTGGGGGTGAAAAGTGTTAAGTCTTCAAAGGAGAGCTTAGAAAACTGCTAGCAGTCTCATCCTGCAAGGAAGACTGAGAAAAATGCCTGATAGGGGCACAGAAGAACTTCAGGGCGTACCGTCCCCACTAACCCTGCATTAGGTGCTGGAGGAAGTCCTTCTTCAGCAGAATGTGTATGCAGGCATATACAAAACCGCAGTGTAACTATGTATGTTGACTTCGATGAAGGAGAAACTATTCTTACTGTGGGTTTATAATTTGGATTTCTGTGTCTATCACAAGCATTGAGCTATGTCCACATTAATTGCTTATTATTAATACCTTGATACCAGTATTCTCCAAGATCTTATATATGGAGATGCAGCTGAGAACACTTTGAAAACACAGTTCAGATAAAACACACTCTACATTCACCATGAAGCAGGCTTTATAGATGACACCAAGTGTGTCTGCTTACTCCTTTGTCAGCTGACTGTAGTACAAAAAAATCCTGGTAGCTTAGATTAGCAGGGGTGCAGGGACCTGACAGTATTCATGATGAAAGAATGCAGCGCCATTCAAACAAAATATCAAAGCTGTTCTAGAAACCCCTCCAGAAGAAAGAAACCACTCTAGAAGAGCCACAAAAAGGAGGTGCAAGTGCCATGATGCAAAAGGAATCATAGAATTTTATGATATCCCAAGTTGGAAGGGACCCATGGGGATGATCCAGTCCAACTCCAGGCTCCACAAAGATTCACTCCAAATTCAAACCGCATTTCTGAGTCCAAACACTCTGTGTGCTTCAGCAGGCTTGGTGCCATGACACAGTTCTACCCATTCTCTTAGGTCCCACCACTGTTTACAGAGAAGAGATCAGTGCCTTGCCTGTCCCTGCTACTGTAAAGAAGATCCATTTAGTGCCCCAGCCATTCTCAGAATTATTCCATGAATTCCAGAATTCATCAAGCATAGAGTTATTAGGAAGAAGGGGGAACTTCATCACTGCAGTCAAACTCCATGGTCACAACAATGCAGCTGCACAGCTTTCCCAGCGCAGCAGGACATCTTCCCAGACCTCACCTTACCTTCCAGGGCTGCCACAGCATATCTGAATTCAAATTTTATCATTGTGAGAAATAAATGCATCTCTCTATTCATGTAACGCTTAAAAGGTTGCTTTCTGGTTTTGTTTTTTGAACAAATTTTCACTAATTTCCCACCATTTGTAGTAGATCTGCAGAGCTACATCTGCTTGCTAATGCTGCCTGTAACAGTCACAACTCTTCAGTTTAAATGGGAAAGGCCTGGACAAGTCTGAAAGCTGAAATCCTTCAGTTCATGCTGGCAAAAGTGACTCAATAGCTGAAGCTGTTTGCAAATCAGCTTAAATAACATCCCATCCAACTGTAACAGGAGGTACGGTTACATTGTATGATGTAGAAAATACAGCTAAGTGCCATATCAAATATAATCAGCAGTAGTTGTACCACATATATCTCTTCATACTATTTTACGAAAACACAAAGCTTTCTGTCTGCCATGAATTTTCTGTCAATTCTGCTTTCATTTCTGCAGGTCTGGACTCTTCTGGGACAAGAAGCAAAGCACAGCAGGTAAAGGAGCAGAAGCAGACAGAAGGCCATACAGACTGTCCTGTGCAGCAGCGCTGCGAGGCAACGCTCATATTCTCCATGGTGGAGAGGGATTCAGGCATGCTGAAAATAGATCCCTCTTGAGATGGAGATCAGGCAGCTGCTTCCCTGTCTACTACCTTTTCAGATGTGGGTTTTCTTCTCCTGAGTTGTGAGAGACAAAGAATGAGAGGATGATTTTTAGCAGGGTGTCAGAATGAGAACAAAGTGAGAAAGTGGAAGAACCTGTATGTTGGTTAGTGGGAAACTCCCTCACGTGTGTGTTCAGTGTGGTAGAGGTCATGAGCTGGAAACACACCAGTGTACTTGTATGACAGGAGGTTTCCCAGCGTGGAAAGGAATCTCTTACTGGTGATCCTCAGCCTTTTCCCCTGAGAACTACTCTCCAGCCCTCTGCTCCTCTGACTAGAACAGAGCGCTGTGCCAGAGGAAGGGAGGGAAAACATGGTTACAAATCTCTGACATCTTAGGGGCTGTAGACAGCCATCACTGTCCTGTGCTCATCTGGACAAAGAAATTCTCCATATTTTTCTAAATCAAAATGCATATTAAATACTTGTCTTAACAAATTCCACTATGGCAAATGTACTGCTGGAAACTGCCTGTTTCCACTTAGAAGCAGTGTGCTGGTACAAGCTTCAACTATTTCAAACCTGTAAAAAGGTTTTATTAGCCTTACTAACCTTACTACCTTATTGAGTCAGTCTCGCTTGTTTCTTCTTTCCCATCAACTTTTCAAAAACAAAGGCTTCCTGGGGATTTTCTTTTTCCTTGTAGAATGGAATTTGGTTGAAAGGAATTCAAGGAGCCAACTCAAACAATGACACAAAATTCAACTTTGTCCAGTTTGTGAATGACACTAAATTAGGCAGATGACAAATGACAGAGCTTAATTCCAGATACATTAAGAGACATGAAGACTGGATCAACACAAATGTTATGAAGATCAGTGTGGAACAAGTGGAAAGCTCACAGCTGGGAGAAAAATAGCCTGAGGTGTCAGTATGAGCTGGGAACTGACCAGTTCAGCAGGAGCCCTGCTAGAAAGGACTTGGGAGTTAAGATGGGTACCCAGAAGGATAATGAGTGCTCTCACTGCAAACAAGGCAAAGATACTGGATGATGCTCTGAGCATGTTCAGTTGACTGTCAGAAGCTAAAATCCCTTTTGTTTGGTATGGCTGAGTTGTCATCTGAAATGGTTTGTCCGATGTGGGGCTCTCCTGTTCAAAAAGGATATGAACTAAAATGATGAAGATGATCTAGGGTCTCAAAAACTAGTCCTACAAAGAGACTGCCAGGGTTTTTAATGTTAGGAGAAAAGGACTAAGTTCCATGTAGGGCAGTTAAAAATACAATGTTCTAAACTTTTCCAATTAGTAGTAGGCAGTGTAACAAGGGACACTGATCAAAAATCACAACTTGAGAGGCACTAGTTAGTCATTAGGAAAACTCTTCACAAATGTCTGTACGGAGTGAGATCAAAGGATTGCATAGTCTGTCACTCCTGAGATATTTCTCACCATCCCAGTGGTGAAGACTTCTGAACTACAAACCCCCTCAAGCTGGTGAAAGACATGTGACTAAAGCAAAAACAGATGGGAAATTGTACTGAAAACAGTACAATCTGTGTCACTGCCAGTAATGGGAGACAGAAGCATAAGCATTTTCCTGCTATCTCTGTGTGAAGCCTAAGAAACCTTTAACCTTCTCAGCTTTCAGTAACTTGTCCATGTGTCTACACCACACAGAGTCTGTAATGCTCACAGGATAGATAGGGCAGACATCTCCTTTAACAGGGATCCCCTTACACCCCTTGTTATTGAGCCCTGGAAGGCTGGAGAGAGCTCAGAGCTGCTCGACTTCTGCTCAGGTAGGAAACCTCCTCTTGTGGGTCAATGCCCTTGAGTCTGAAGAACAGGGTTATGAGTTTCCTGTACCTGGGGACAGCTGATCCTCCCCCAGCGATCAGTAGCCCTGACCAGGAATGCCTGTGTGGATGTGCTGCTCCTCTGACAGACCATTGGTTCTGAGCATGGGCAGGGGAAGGGCTGGCATGCAGCTCTGTGAGTGCTGTGTGAAGGAAATCCCACCAGGGACAAGTTGAGGTCAGAGGAAGGAGGGGAAAGGGAATGAGAGAGAATGATGAGTGGAAGGTGGCAGTGTAAGAGATGACAATGTGGAAAGAAGCACAAAAGTGTGCACGTGGAGATCATGGAATGGTTTGGGCTGGAAGAGACCTTTCAGGTCATCTGGTTCCAACTCCCTGCTACATGCAGGGACACCTCCCTCCAAACCAGGTTGCTCACAGCCCCATCCAGCCTGGATGTGATCTGATGAGGGAAGAGGGCTTTGAAGGAAAAAAAGCCAAGAGCTGTTGGGGTAGATAATAAAAGAGGCATTCATGCAGAATCTGGGAGGGCCTGACTGTTAGCAGAGCTTATGGAAGGGCATCATCCTATTTGTGTGGCTTGGGCTGTCTTTACAAGCACATCATGGCCTTTTTCTCTCAGGAATCTTGACATGACTGCAGGCATCACTAGAGACAACAGAACTTGTAGAACCAAGGATTAGAACCAAGTTCCTTCTGGAGGGTTGGCTGCCTTCCGCACTGTGACAGGCTGCCCATGCATAGTCCTAAAGCTCCAAATTGGATGAGAGCATTGCATTTTATGAGGTACAGCTGGGGTTCCCTCCAGAGAACACCTCCCCTGCAGAGGATGGGTGCCTCAGCAGCCCTTAGGGACACACTAAGATGGGTAAGCTGGGTCAGGCAGTTGGTGAAGGAAGGAGCAGAGGCAAATGAAGGTGTCATGAAAGAATAGCAGGAGGGTACACGTGGGGCAACACAAGATTCTGAGCATCCAGCTCAGTTTGATTTTAGCAAGCCTCCGTGCTGAAGAATCACAAAGGGAAGCTGATGTGGCTCTGGACAGCCTGGTGGTTGGCAATCCTGCACATAGCAGGGGGGTTGAAACGAGATGATCACTGTGGTCTTTTTCAACCCAGGTCATTCTGTGGTTCTGTGGAAGAAATAGTTTTCCACTGTTAATTAATTCTGCTACAGCCCCTGAAAATAACTATATGTATTTTTTTCCTCAAAGCCCAGCTTATTCGGAGTAACAGACCATTTCTGCTAATTTGTCTGCTCTTTGTTCACAAAATAAGCAGTAATACTGATAACTGTGAAGTATCGTGATCAATAAACTTTAGTTCAAGGCACGTTTTTCCAAATGCGCTGTGATTCATTAGCACAAAATTGGGTTAAAGTTGGGCTCTTAAAGCCCAAATGTGTGCACATGGGTGGTAGGAGTCCTACCTACAACCATATGAAAGCAATGTGTGTGTTCTGAATTTCCTGGGCCCCCTTCATGATAAAAGGGGAAGAATGAGCATCTCCATAATTAAGAAACTTTCCTTAGCCTGGATTCCTATGGAGGAGTCCTTTCTTCTCCACTGACCATGGAGGGGAGATTACAAACCTATTACAATATGAATGGCTGACACTACGGGAGAATAACCTCAGTACTGATTTGTTTGATCCAGATACCCATGACTCCAGCATGGTTCTGTGCAAGGCAGCAGATCCATATTCTCACTGTGAATTTCAGACAACGTGGGAGTATAAAACAAGGTATCTTTCCAAGACAACTTCTCTTAAAAACCCCATCTTATATTTGAACAAAAATTGCAAATTGGGATTAAACAATACTAGGAAACTGTCACAACAGCAAGATCCCCCTGCCCAGTCCCCCTCTAGGGAAAGCAGACACAAAAGAAGCAAAATTTTGTTATATATATTAGCGTATTTCTGCAACTATCATCCTCTCCAAAAGCAAGAGGGGTTTGAGGGTCTGGAATTCCTTCCTGTGTTCTTATTCACCACTGGACTGCTTCAGAGCAAAATACAGAAACTCACCAAGTTCCCTGCTGCCCTACATGCCCAGCTGTAATGTGATCTGTGCAGTTAAATGAGATAATCTGATATTAAGGCAGACGAACTAAGAGGCAAGGGGATCAAAACAGATTTCTTTATCAGCCTCTTAGGGGCTTGCAATGGATTTAACAGAAACACAGTCTCATACCTTCTTTTAGTTCATGGCAATAAAAGAAAGAACAAATTAGAGGGATTTCTCAATCACTGATGTTTGACCGAGAGAAGGATTCTATTCCCCCTTTGGCTTTGGAGCAAAGCAGTAGAACTACAGCCCCCCTTCCCTCCCCTGCCTCCCCATCTCCTGTCTGCTCTTCTTGGAAGAAACGGGAGAGAGGTTTTGTATGTGACATCAGTGATATTTTTACTTTGGGAAAGGCAGCAATATCACCAAGACACAGCTGCAACTGTTTCTTTGCCCCCCCCTCCCTTCCACCCCCACTGAGTTCAGTAGCAAATCTCTTAAGAGGCACAAAGGGCACAAATGCCAAGAAATGTGTCCTCCGTTATGCCACGTGCATCTGCTGAATCCGAGACTTATTTTAGGAGGAATTAACATGTATTCCTTCAGAATTTCAAGAGGAAGAACACCCTGCTTAGTCACCAACATGAAAGAAACTGCACAGCAAGCTGATTCAGAACACGAGCTTCACTTAACATTTAGCGAACATTTAGTTAACACTTTAACATTTAGGTTGTTTGACAAGACTTCCTTAGGTTCTACAGCACTGTGATGCTTCCTAATCAAAGGCAATCTGATGCTGTCTCAAGCTATCTTCTCCCTGGCATTGTTACCTGTTACTTGATTGACAGTACCTGAGTAAGTATTTTTTACCAGTTTAGATGCCAGGTGTTAATCAGCCTGCTCCTGCAGAGGAGGTCAAAGTTACTGAGCTGAAGAAGAGGAATATGGACAGACTATTGGCTTTCCAGGCTTGCAGCTGGTAGGATAGATGTGGAAAAGCTGTAACTGGTTTCAGGGAGCAGCTATTTAGCAGTGCCCACTGCTCCAGTGTGCTTTCCCATAGTAGATCACCGTAGATCACTTTGCTGTGATAATTATTTGATTATTATCCTCTGATTCAGAAAAGAGCTGAGTGTAGCAATCTTTTTCTTAAATAGTACACTTTCCTTCCTCCCTTCTCTTAGATAGTATCCCTCCTTCCTGCCTGCCTCCCTCCCTCCCTCTCTTTGTTTTCCGCAAGACTTCTGAGAATTTTATTCCCAAATAACTTGCTTTGCTGGCTGCTGTACAGAACTTACCCTCAGCCCACTTGAGAGGATGGGGAAAGCAGCTGTTTGCCCCTTTCCCACAGTGAGTACTACTGTAAGGGTTACTCAACTGTGGGAAAACTGGAGCAGAAAGACAGCACCTGTAGAGAGAGCCTCATAAATTTGAGAACATACAGCCATCCACATCACCTTAGAACAAAGGACTGGCAGGTACTCTGTAAGGAGAGTGTATAAGATGACTGGTGAAAACACATTTTCACATTTTCCAAAGTATTTACAATTTTATGAAAGCATATAATCTTCCCACTTGTTCATTCCTTTTCCAAAGTGAAGAATCACAGTCACTGTCTCTCCAATGTTCCCATCAGTGTTGACATCTTTCTACATAACCTTTCTACTTGCACAGGCCAGAGCTGTGGAGAGCACATGGTTTGTGAGCCTGGCACAATGATTTCTGTTTTGTTCTCAATTGATCCTGATCATTCCTAATGATCAGGCCTTTTGTGGCCACCATCAAGCACTGACTTGACATTTGGAGACAATTACTTGCTGTCTGGTAGCCTCTTAACCCCATTTACTTGCTGTCTGGTACCTCTTAACCCCAATTCTCCTTTCAGAGACTGGATTTCTGTAGGGTTTGGCCTATACAGCTCAGAGGCACCGAACAGGCAGAGGAGCTGACCTTTGGTTGCAGCCACACAAAGGGTTTTTTTGGCTGGTGTTGCACGGCCTGCCTTACAAGGATGATGTGGTAAGCAGCTTTCAGCAACATGACAGTGCGTGAGACTCAAGCAGCTCAAAGCAGCAAGCAGAGCTGCAGAGAGACAGGTAAAGAGGCCACCTGTTGTGTAGGGATGACCAGCTGTAAGCTATCAGAGGTGCACCGTTACTCAGGCTCTTCATGAAAACATCAGCAGAAGAGATCTGAGCAGCAGCCACTGCCAAGGAGGTGACATTCAGGATGCCCTTTCTGTCACCCACCAAAGCAGCTGAGGGGCTCCAGTTACAGAGCAGGGGAGTGGGGTGGGCAGGCTATGAGGCCTCCGGGAAAGACAGAGAAGAAAGAGAGCAAGTGGCAAAAGGGGGAGGGAAGGAAAATTAGGATTAGGTGCATAATATTAGAACTAGCAACAACTGCGTCCTAAAAAAGAGAGCAATGAAGTGATATCTTCCTTTGCTGACACTCATCTTAGACAGATGCACAAATCCCACTTCTGGGCAGGTTTCAGTGCTGTAAGTGGAAATATACTGATACTGGAATTTGTATAATCCTATTCTCCTTAAATGTTAGACTTTTCAAGGTTAGAACACTGTAAGATCTTCTGAGTGCCATGGTCACAGCAGCGCAGTTACCTATTTAGCAGAATATTTTCTAAACTAACTTCCTATGTTGCAAAAAAGTTCCTTTTGCATCTTCAGGAAATTTGCCAACAGACTCATTTTATTCATGGTGATCAACATAAACATTTCCTTAACTGCTCTCTGTATCCACCTGACAGACAGAGGGAAGCATACACGTTTCTGCTCCCTCTGGACTGCAAATCAGCTGCACAAAGCAGACCAGCTCCGTCAGAAGACAGTGATGGTGATGTGCCACCAGACAGCCAGCAGCCAGGGTGCCCCCATGTGAGCAGCTGGTGATGAGCAGCTGGGGGGGTCTGGCAATGCTTACATTCTCCGTTCTGTGGTAATTACCTGCTCACCTCACTTTAAGTCTTCTAAGGACAGATGTTTCTCTTTGAGTGTCTTGTCACAAAGTACTTGAGAAGATCTGAGTTTATGCCAAAGGAGAAGCGAATACTGAGCCCAAAGGAAGAAAGAAAGTTGTTTAACATCTCAGGACCATGGCCTGAGAATCATAGAATGATAGAATCATAGAATTGTAGGGGTTGGAAGGGACCTCCAGAGATCATCGTGTCCAACCCCCCTGCCAAAGCAGGTTCCCTACAGCAGGTCGCACAGGTCGGCATCCAGGCAGGTCTTGAACATCTCCAGAGAAGGAGACTCCACCACCTCCCTGGGCAGCCTGTTCCAGTGCTCCGTCACCTCACTGTAAAGAAGTTCTTGCACATATTTGTGCGGAACTTCCTATGCTGCAGTTTCCAGCCGTTTCCCCTTGTCCTGTCTCCACTCACCACTGAAAACAGTCTGGCCTCGCCATTCTGCCCCCCACACCTCAGATATTTATAGACCTGGATCAGGTCCCCTCTCAGTCTCCTTTTCTCAAGGCTGAACAGACCCAGTTCACTCAGCCTTTCCTCATAGCAGAGATGCTCCAGGCCCTTCACCGTCTTTGTGGCCCTCCGCTGGACTCTTTCCAAGAGATCCCTGTCTGTTTTGTACTGGGGAGCCCAGAACTGGACACAGTACTCCAGATGAGGTCTTACCAGGGCAGAGTAGAGGGGGAGGATCACCTCCCTTGACCTGCTGGACACGCTCTTTTTAATGCACCCCAGGATGCCATTGGCCTTTTTGGCCACAAGGGCACACTGCTGGCTCATGGCCAACCTGTCATCCACTAGGACGCCCAGGTCCCTTTCCGCAGAGCTCCCCTCCAGCAGCTCATCCCCCAACCTGTACTGGTGCATGGAATTATTCCTCCCCAGATGCAAGACTCTACACTTGCTTTTGTTAAACCTCATCTGGTTTTTTTCTGCCCAGCTCTCCAGCCTGTCCAGGTCTTGCTGAATGGCAGCACGGCCTTCAGGCTGTCAGCCAATCCTCCCAACTTCGTATCATCAGCAAACTTGCTGAGGGTGGCCATTATCCCCTCATCAAGGTCATTGATGAAGATGTTGAACAAGACGTATCCCAAATCTGCCACATAGAATCAGAGAACCACAGAATGGCCTGAGTTGACAAGGACCTGAAGGATCATCTAATTTCAACCCTCTTGCCATTGGCAGGGTCACCAATCAACAGACCAGGCTGCCCAGAGCATCTCAAGGTGCAGTGCCAAATTCACTCAATTACCGCTTTGTCGAACATTACAGGTGTATGTTCCCTTCCTTCCAAGTTAGTCCCTCAGATTCCTCAAAGTGCCCTGCTGCTGCAGTTGACCAATGCCTTCCCAGTTGTAGGGTCTCAAAGCAGAGCCATCCCCTGACCCTGCACTGCTCTCTGCCTCGTGTATTTGCTAAGCCTGCAGCTTGCCCCTTAATGCTTCAGTTCCAAACCCTCCATGTACACTGAACTGTATTTCTCCAAGCAGCACTGTGCAGACCTCAGGGAGCTGCTGGCATGTGGAGATGGTGGTGCCCACTCTGCTGGAGCTGTAAGAGCAGTGTTCTGAAGCCTTAACAGCAAAACTTGTGTCCTGTGTGATTTCCTTCTCTCCTGAGGCTCCTTACTGTGAACTACTGAACGTGGCTTTACTGATAGAGTGTCTGAAGGGGAATGTTTTCAACCATTTGTTCTGCTAGAACTGAACTGCTACTGTTGTGCTCAGGAGGTCTCCTGCAGTCCACACAGTCCACACAGGACAGCAGTTCTATATAAGCCCATCAGCTGCATCTATTTTAAACTTTCTCTCAGAGGTCCTTGTTTACGGCCACTATGAACTGATGTTTTTCTCAAGACCTTCGCACAAGCCCTGGTCAGATGACAGGCATCCTGACTCCATAAATAGAGTGAGAATGCAAAATGACTCTCGTTCTCCAGTGAGCAGTGAGCAATACATCTTCCATTTCCCTCACATCAGTGTCCCACTTTGGTCCTGATCATACAGCAGGCTTTATAGCAGTGTCTGTCTTTTTTTTTTCCCAGCCTCTGCTCCTCCTGCACACATCCTCCTTGGCTCAGATCACTGATTTGGTCCTTTCCCCATTACATACCTAAACTCTCCTTCCTGGCATCCCTCAAAGCTGCTCAGCCTCTGCTCCATTCTCCTCCTCCACTGTGTTTGTTATTTTCCTTCTTGACCTATTCTTCAACTGCCAAAAAACCCACATGCAAAGG